TTTATCCTGAGATAACGTGTGGATGTGGCTCCTGAATTCTCTCCTAGAGCACCTGATCGTGTTAGAAGTAAAGCAGAAAAACATCTGAAAGGCACTCACCTGTATTCCGAAGGGCAGCGAGGGAGAAGAAAACGAATAAAGAAACATCTGCACCAACAGATTTCATGCTTTGTTCAGATGATTCAGGACAGCTGATTGTAACAGCCTTTGTGCCAGAAGAAGAGGAGCCTTTTATACATACACGTGTCCAGAAACGATAGGGATTCTCACTGTTCAAAGGTTTGTTGTAAACTATTGAAGCAAAACCAAGTCAAGGAATGCTCTTTTCAGAGGTCATTTCTCATTCAGGAAATGATGAAGAGAGCTGGGAAGGCAGTCAGTGTAATTCCTATATGTTACTTTGTTTATTTCTTTTTTCTTTTTTTTCTTTTTTTCCAAAAATAGGAGGAAATAGGTGCTTATTTTCCAAGCCCTTCTGCTCCAAAGCTCAGGAGCATGCAGTCTGTGGCACAGGGCATTATGTTTTAATTTTACTGGAGGCGCTGGAAATGGTTATTAGTAAGAAAAATCATCAAGAATAGATGCTAACAGTACAGATTTGCTCAGAAGATAGCGTGACATGGGAAAGCATGTTCGCTGCCCAGTGTGTGTGCCAGCATGAACATCATGTATGAGAGAGAAGAAGAAGATGCTGCAAGAAGCAATTCGTGCTGCTTGAAGGCTGGGGAGCAGTTCTTTCACAGACTTTGTAAGGATGGTCATTGGGAATAAAGGAGGCTGCTGCATATACAATACCAGAAGGCAAGGTCAGGGTCGAGGTAGCCGAGCAGTGCCATTGTTCCTATTGAAACATGCAGTTTTGTTGGCACAAGAATTGCAGCTGTGATGTAGGAGTGCTTTTCGCAGTCACAACCCTCCAGGTCTTCATGAGGAAGATGGGAGCTGGGACAGCATGTGTTTATGATCGAAATTTAAGATGAATCTTGATATATCTACTGAAAAATTGCACATTTTGGACCTCTGATTCGCATTCCTCTTTCTGCTACAGAGGAGTAGAACAAAGCCTACAGGCTGGAACATTCACAGGGATGCAAGTGCAATTAGCACTTCTTTGGCTGATGACAGTGTGAATCTGAGACAGCAGCGATCCTAATTCATGCCTGGGTCTTCACTGTGGGTACGCTGCGCCGTGCCGAGCAGCAGCAGCCTTCAGCCGAAGGAAGCGCAGGAAGCGGACCCGCAGCCCCGCACCGCCCGAACCACGCCGCACAGAGCTCCTCCTGTCAGGCGCCCCACGGCTCTCGCGCCGCCCCCTGCTGATGGGAGGCGGTACTGCATGCACCGGAGCGGCGCTACGTCCGCGTGTCCGTACGCGTGCGTGGCAGAGCCTGGAGGACTTGTACCATAGAGCTTGGCGGACTGTCGGTGCAGAGCGGTAACAGAAGAGAGATGCTTCTTCCGCATCTGGGAGCGCATGTGTATTGCTGCCTGGAAGATCGCTATAGATACAGGCAGAGCGGAAACCTGGAAGTAGTGATTTTCGTTCAGTCTGGCAGCCCTGCCTGTAAGTCCTCTTGGTCAGCGACGGGAAAGGAGGGGCATGGTAGGTGCTCCCCATCAGAAACGCTGCCCTGAGCAGCACTGGAAGATCACAAAATCATAGAATGGTTGGAGTTGGAAAGGACCCCCAAAGGCCTTCTGTTCCCACTGCCTGCAGTGCACAGGGACACCCACAGCTCCAGCAGTGCTCACAGCCCCGTGCCCTGAGCGTGGCTGTGTGCAGGGATGGGGCAGCACCAGCTCTCTGGGCACCCTGTGCAGTGCCTCACCACTCTCATTGCAAACAAATTCCTTATACCCAACCTAAATCTCCCCTCTTTTAGTTTGAAACCATCTCTCCTTGTCTTGTCACATAGATCCTGCTAACGAATCTGCCGTTTCTTTCTTACAGCCCCTTTAGATACTGAAGGGCCACTCTCAGCTCTCCCTGGAGCATTCTGCTCTCCAGGCTGCACAGCTTCACAGCCCTTCTCTCAGCCTTTCCTGATAGAGGTGTTCCATCCCTTGAGTTAGTTTTGCGACCCTCCTCTGGACACACTCTGACAAGGTGCTATGGACCTGTCCTTCCTCCCAAGGGGACAAGAAGGGATGCGGTACAGTAGTGCCCTACTTGGAGCTCCACCTTACCAGCAGCATCAGCTAGAAGGGCTACTCCAGCTCCTTGCACTTTGCTCCCTCTCCATTGGTCACCCAGCTCAGCTAGGTGGTTGGGATGGGGATGTGTGTACAGCCAGGCGCCGGGGCACTGGAGCAGAACGAAAGGCGCTTGATCCCCACGTCCAGGCAAGGGGCGGTGCGGTGCAGCCCGGCCCCTCAGGGGACAGCCGGGCACTGCGGCAGCATGCAGGGGCTGCTGCTGTGCGGGGGGTGGCTGCTGGCTGCTGGCTACGTGCTGGGTGGCTGCCGGCACCGCTGTTGCCCAGGCAGGAACAACGCCTGCTGGGCCAGCAGTGCACGCCACACTCGCTGCTATTGCGACTCGTACTGTGAGAGGATAGGTGACTGCTGCCAAGACTACCAGGCTGCGTGCCGCCGTGCCGGTGAGCAGTGGGGCAGGGTGAGGGTGGTGGGTGTCGTATCGGTGAGGTTTTGCTGTTCCCACCTGTGGTCCCTGTGAGAGGTGATGAGCTGTGTTACAGCTGGGGCTGTAGGTGGGTGTGTCTCAAATGCCATCCCGGTTTTCTGCTTTTTTCTCTGTTCAGTGAGGGATCCCGCAGCGTGTTCTGCAGCTGGACATGACAGCAGCAGCAGTGCTGTCACTGCGAGCTCCAGAGCTGATTTTTGGGATGTGGGTACCAAGGGCTGAGCCACACGCCTATCACTGCTGCTCAGGGTCGGGGGCTGTGCTGGACATCAGCACTGTCAGCGCTCCGTAATCTCCACAGAGATTAGCGAGGTCCCAGCTCAGCCCGATGCAGAGCCTGACAATAAAAGCACAGTATGCTGTGGGGCTGAACCACGGGGGTCCCCCTTCTCCCTGCTGTGCACAGATTCTCCCCGCTCCCGTTCCTTCTTCTATGCTATTGAATCTCTTTTCTCTCTTCTCAGCAGTGGGCTGTGCAGTGGGGCCGTGGGGGCCCTGGAGCAGCTGCAGCTCCCCATGCGGGGTGGGCAGCAAAGACCGCAGCCGCCAGGTCACTGTGCCCCCCCGGCACGGCGGGGAGCCCTGCCCCGACCTCAAGCAGCGCCGTGGGTGCCTGGGGGATGACCCGGCCTGTGGGGCTGCCAAAGGTAATGCAGGACCCCCTCCTAGCCCTGCACTGTAGTGGCTGTCACCACCTCACCATTGCTGCTCTGTGCCAGGGGTGGCCAAACTGCTCCCCGATTCCTTCAGCCCAGACATCAGGGATCCCTGGCGCAGAACTGGGATGCAGCAGTCAGAGGAGTCAGCCAGGTAGGTATGGGGCTATGACCCCTTTGCACACCCTATCCCCAACCCCCTGCAGAACCCCTGTAAGCTCCTATAAAGCAAACACTTTACTTCCAACCATTATTTTTCCCCAAACCAGCTCCCACCTCCCCATCTCCTGCAGCTTTTTCCGCCTGACGCAGGTGGCAGCTGCCTGTCGTGGGCAGCCCTGGAGCCGCCGGCTACAGCGGGACAGGCGGGTGTGCGTTGAGTGCTGGGGGGACACAGCCCATGGGCATCCCCAGTGTGATGGATATGGGGTGCAAGGAGCCAGGTAGGCAAATCTGGGGAGGAATGTCCTTTGGGAAATGCCATGTGCCCTAAGGGCACTTCCGAGAGGCATTCCATCTTCCTCCCCATTAAAAATGATAATTTAGCATCTATATTTTTTTACAGCAGGACAACATTTGCTGGGTTTTCCTTACAGGACGTTTTGGGTGGCCACCTTCATAGCAGGGTGCCAGGGCTCGTGGGTGCGGGAGGCTCTGCAAGAGGGCTGCGCCTGTCCACCCCCAGCATTCATCTTTGTATAGGTGAGCAGAGCCCAATTCCTTTAAGGGCATCTCGGCTGCTTGGTGTGGTGTGAGGAGCACAATTAAAGGTGGCACAGAAAGCAAGGGCATGGCTGTGGCGATGCTGTTCGGGGCAGAGTGCCCTCAGGTTGGGTATTAAGAAAAATTCTGCTCTGAAAGAGCAGCAAAGCATTGGAACAGGCTGGGAAGTGGTGGTGTCACCATCGATGGAGGTGTGACACTTGGGGATGTGGTTTATTGGGCATGGTAGCAACGGATCAATGGTTGGATTCAATGATAACAGAGGTCTTCTCGAATCTTAACAATTTTATCATCAGATGGCACCAACATCGCTGTCCCCAGTGCCTGCTTGTCCCCCCCTGCCACCCTCAGGTGGCTTCAGCTGAGGCCCCCACCTCAGCCATACAGCACCATACCCACATCCCACATGGCTCACTTTATTCAGCCCCATGCACCACAGCACCCAGCAGTCCCTGTGTGGGCACCCGGCAAGTCCCAAAATGTTCAATATCCCCAGGAGCAGCAGCACAGGGCTCCTGGCATCACCCCGCAGCCCCTCACGTGCCCAACTCCCTGCGCAGCTTCAGGATTTCCAGGAGGAGCTTCTCCTTTTCCAGCACGATCTTCTCCTTCTGCAGTTGCAGGGTCTCCTTCTGCAGCTCCAGGATCTCGGTGTGCAGCCGCCTCTGCTTTTCTGACAGCTCCTCGGAGGCCGCTGTGCCACCTGCACGAAGTGAGGGAAGGCGTTAAGGCTAGGAGGGGAATGGGAATGGGGTTCTGGTGAGGGCAAAAGGGATATCACCAAACTGCTGCAGCATCGCTGCCCGAAGTGGATGCAGAACCTCACTCCGGTGTTGGAAATGGGATCGGGAGTCCCAGCACGGATTGGGAGCTGCTCACCGTTGTCGTGCGGGGGCCCGGGGCTGCCCGTTCCCAGCGATGCGGGACTCGCCATGGCCTCGAGGCACGGCCACGCCAGCGCGGGGCTCGGCGGGCACTTAACGCGGGGCGGCTCGGGGTTGCCAGGCGGAGGTCCGGGGGCTGCGCCTTGCGGCTGGGCGGCCCGGGGGGCGGCCGGTCCTGGGGCGGGCTGCAGCCTGCTCTCCGCGCCGGGCAGCGGCCGCTCCTCGGGGCCGGGGAAGCGTTCCGGAGCGGGGCCGCGCGGCAGCGGCTCAGGGGCGGCCGCGGGCAGCCCGAAGGACGGGGCGGGCGGAGGGCCGGGCTTGTTGAAGAGGGCGAAGATGTGATGGAAGAGCCGCTCCTGGGGCCGCTGGCGGAGCAGCGGGTGTTTGTCGGCCGCCAGCTCCCGGCGCGCGTCCAGCACCATGTTATGCCACTTCTTGCGGATTTCCTCGGCCGTCCGCCGCACCACCGGGCTCAGCGCGTTGACGGCGGCCGCGATCTCCTCCCACGCGCGTTGCCGGTCCTGCGTGTTGCGGTAGCGGCCGCTCTTGGGGATGAGGATGTCCTTGCGGAGGCTGAACTCCTCCAGGATGAGGAATTTCTCCTCATCCGAGAACTTGATGCGCTTGGGCTTGGCCGCGCTCATACCGCCCTGCGGCGGGGACGGGGGCTCAGGGGTTCCCCCCGCCCCGTGCTCCCGAGTCCTCCGCCCCCGGCTCTCACCTTCCACCGGGCCGGGCCGCCGCGGGAAGCGGATGTGCCGCGTCCTGTTCCGCGCCGGGGCGGAGCCGGTACCGGGGCGGAGCAGCGGGAGCCCCGCGGAGGCCGGCCGGACGCGCTGAGCCCGCAATCTCAGGCAGGGAGAGGCTTCCACGGCGCGGCTGCTGCGGGGCTCTTTATTTGGAATAGAAAACCCGGGCTGGGCGCAAAATACAGCTAAAACACCGGATAAAAAAGGTGGTGGGAGGGCAGCGGGGTAACAAGGAGAGCGCCTGTGCGCGTCCCATCCTCCCAGCCGGACCCCAGCGAGTAGCGCAGGAGAGGAGCGGGCGATGCCGCACCGGTGGCGGTGGGACGGAGCCGCCGCTGTGCCCTGCCCGCTGCTGCTGCTGCTGCCGCATCCAGGCACAAAGGGAGTGGATGCATCCTGCTACCCCTGAGTTCCACCCCTGTACCCGCAGCCATGCTGCAGGAAGCACCCAAAAAACGTCAGGATGCGGCCACGAGAAGCAGGACCCCTCGGTGACATTGCTCCGTGCCCACAGCCATCAGCCGTCCCCATGTGCTTCTCCCTGCTCTGCCGGCACAGTGCTCTGTCGGGGAGCAGGGCCCAGCCCGTGCTGTGCCAGTAGCCCCTGCACCAGAGCCAGCTCCTGCTCCAGTTCCTGGGCACCACAGTCTAACCCCAGCACAGCTCCATGCTCGTCACCCAGCACCCGGAGCACACGGGCAACCAGCTGTGCCCTCACCAGCAGCAGGGCCAAGGCAGCACGCAGCACGGCACAGCCCAGCGCCTTCATCCAGCAGCGTGCAGCTGATTCTGCAGGGAGAGTAACAGAAGGTCCAGTGAGCACTGGGCTGTTTGGGACCACAGGTTTCCCAGCCCAGGGCTGCCACCATACCGTGGCTCCATCGCTGCTGGCAGTAGTGCAGGTCCTGCAGCACACCGGGGCCTGCAGCCTGCAGCCAGTGCAGGGCAGAGCTGGGAGCCTTCTCCAGGAGCTGCAGCAGGAAGGGCAGCAGCTGCTGCGCCAGGGCAGCTGGCTCTGCAAACACATTGGGCTCATCCTCCTTGTACAGGCTGGGGGGGCTGCAGGGGAGCAGTGGGGACATAAAACCTCTTGCCACCCAATGCTCCTCCCTTCCCAACCCTTGCAGGGGGCTGTACTCACATGTCAGCCTCCAGGTCCTCTATGATGGCCCTCAGGTTGGGCTGGGGCAGGTGCTGCAGCAGTGAGCTGAAGGTCTCGGGGTGATGCCCAAATTCATCCAGGAGGAGCTGTAGGAGGCTCAGCAGCCCCACATTGCCCTGCACAAAGATGCAGCCATCTCCTCCTGGCTGCCCCCGGCCATGCTGGACTAGGCTCACAAAGCCTGCAGCCTCATGCCGTACATCAGGGTCCTCATCTTGCAGGAGGTGAATGCTCATGTTTATCACCCTGCGGAGGAAGGAAAGCATTGCTGCATGCCCAGTGGATGCAGTAGAGGAGGGAGCACACATACAGGGCCGCTCAGGACCTACCGCAGTGCCACAGGGACGAGCCAGGGGCAAGAAGCCCCCCGGCATTGCTGCAGCATCTTGGTGCCTGCTGTCTGCAGGGAGCACGCAGCAGCCAGCCGCAGCACCTCATCTGCCACGGGTCGGCCACACGCCTCCAGCATCGTGCACCACCGCTGTACCAGCAGGGCATTCTCAGCCCCAAACCTGAGTGGAGCAGAGGAAGTGGTCAGACACAGCTCCTGGCTTACGGACCACCTGGAGGTCACAGGATCCAGGCACAAAGCCCAGGGCTCTGATCCCACAGCCCTACCCCACAGTGAGCAGCAGGCTGGCAGCACACAGCGCCTGGGAGAGGAGCTCTGGACCAGGGCGCTCCGTCTCCATCACAAGGAGCAGTATTTCCACACATGCTAAGGCAGAGCCCTGGAGCTTCTGGGAAGCTTCCCGAGACCAAGATGGGCAGCTTCTGCAAAGATGCATCAGAGCTTCAAGGTACAATCTCAGGAACTCTTTGTTCCCTCTGTCTTGCAGCACTGACTGTAAGTTCTCCTGGTCAACAATAGGAAAGAATGGACAAGGTCAGTACTCCCCATCAGCAAAGCCCTCAGAAACGCTGTCCTGAGCAGCACCTGAGGGTACACTGAAGCTGTGCCTCCTCCCAAGAGGTCAATGAGGGACAAGGGGGGACCACTGTGCATTAGTGTCCCACTTTGGATCTGTGATTTTGAGCCCCACTGTACCAGCAGTGTCAGATGGAGGGCCCTTTCTAGCTCCTCGCATTCTGCTCTTTTCCCATCGGTCACCCAGCTCAGCACAGCAAGGTGGACATCGGGGTGTGGATGTTGCAGAAGTGAGCAGACAGTGTGGATTCTCTTGCTGTCAGCCTGTCGGGCTGCCTCACTGCAAGCAAAGCGGGCCATAGTCTGGTGGAGAATAGCTGCACCCACCTGGTGGGAAACAGAGACCTTCTCTCAGCGCTCTGCTCCTGGGCACAGGACAAGGATGGGCTCCCACCTCCCATGCCCTAAGCTTTACAGCAGGGAACAGGAGCAGTACCTGCAGCTCAGCACAGCCCGGCTCCCTGCCCAGTTTGAGGTTGCCCAGCTCAGCACTGACAGCATCCCAGATGCTCTGTGTGAAGCTGGGGCTGAGGGAACTGGGCAGGAGGGCGAGCACCTGGAGGAAGGCGGCACGGACAAGTGGGCAGCGCTGGGCAGGGCTGAGCAGCCAACCCTGCGCCTCCAGCTGCAGGGCCACGGGATGCAAGGCCTCAGCAGGCAGCCTGTGGGGACACAAACCCTCACCGTGGGGCCCAGACAGAGAGGCACCACAGCCATGGGGCAATGCAGGGTCACTCACCCGTCGGTGCCTGGGTGGGGGGCCAGCAGTGCCTGCATCTGCAGCAGGTGCCCGTGCAGGGTGTTGTGTGAGCTGATCCCCCCAGGTGCAGGAAGCTGCTGGGCCAGATGCAGAAGCAGAGCCGGGCGCTGGGGCGGTGGGACGACAGGAATCAGAGCTTTGGCAGCCATGGCTCGCACGGCATAGATGGGGCTCCCTGCCAGCTCCAGCAGCGGCTCCAGAAAGTGAGTGGAGGGACTACGGAGTAAAACAGGCACAGTGTGGTGACACGCCGAGGAGTGAACATCTACTGCCAGCACTCTGCCTTACCCGCTGGGGTCATCGGGGCCAGGCTGCAGCTGTGCCAGCAGTGTGAGGATGGCGTGCAGTGCAGGACGCAGGTGAGGTCCCCCTGGCACAGCTGCTCCCAGCTCGGCCAGCAGCACAGCACCCAGCTGCGGGTGCTGCCCTAGGAACGCGGGCAGGCTCAGCCCCTCCACCAGGCAGCCCTCAGCACTGCTCTGCTTCTGGCCCAGCAGCCGTGTGGTGAGAGCACCTGTGGGGAGAGAGCACATCAAACACTCCTGAAGGGCAATGCCACGTTCCAGTCCTGGGATCCACCCAAAAGAAGGGATGAGGATGTGCACCCGTGCTTTGGAGTGCAGTTCTGGTTCCTGTTTCCCCATGGGCACCGCTGCAGGGCTGGGGTACTCACTGAAGAGCTGGATGGCCGCATTCCTCATGGCCCAGCAAGGTGAGCTCAGTCCCTGCAGTGCCAGGGCCACCATTGGTGTAGCATGCCGCAGCAGCGCAGTGCCCAGCCCTGCACCACGCACCAATGTTTGCAGCACGTGCAGGGCACACACCTGAAGAGAGTGTGTGGAGCTCAGCTGTGCTGCACCAGGCACCAACAGCCTCATGCTGCAGTAGCCAATGCAGACAGATCCCTCTGAGGGGCTCTGTGCAGACCACCCCATTCCCAATCTAGCTTTCATGGCAAAGGGATCAGTGTGCACTGCAGTCACCTGTGCGAGGTCAAGGGTTTGGTCCCAATCCTGTGGCAGGGCCATGGCGGCCAGTCCCAGCAGTGTCTGGATGCAGCGGGTCAGAAGTGGACGTGCCTGGGCGGGGTTTTCCCCACTGACAATGCAGAGGAAGAGCATGGGGAAGCCGGCAGCACGGCGCGTTATTGAGCTGCTCCGGGGTCCACTCAGTGCTTCTAACCCCTGAGAAACAAAGCCCATCCAGACCGGTGAAACCTGCCTGGTGGAGCCCGCAGCCTCCCTGCAGGGAGCAGCCAGCACCACCCTGCAGGGCTGGAGGATATGGATGCTGGAGATGAGTGGAACGCAAGCAGGAACAGGCACAGTACCTGGTCCAGTATAATCTGCGGGATCACCTGCATCTCTGTATCGGGGTGGTTTAGCAGAGCAGCGCAGAACTTGGTGAAGCCCATGCTGCAGCCTTCCACTGCTCCCTAGGGCAGAGTGATGTCAGGACTCCCTGCTCTCCACCCTCCCACAGCCCCCAGGGCTGCAGGATGGATCAGGAAGGGTGGGAGAAAGGCCGAGCTCACCCCAGGCAGGCCATGTGCTTACCCAGTGCCGGCACCGCAGCAGGATCTCTTGGAAGACTGTTGCAGCTGTCTGCAGGCTGGCAAGGGGCAGGAGGTGCTTTGTTCCAGGGGATGACAGCAGCAGCTCAGCCAGGCCTCCCAGCAGCAGCCCGACTTCCTGGGGAGAGCCAGGGTGTGGAGGAGGCAACAGAGCTGCCCAACAATTCTGTCCTCCCTATGCCCACCGTGGCAGAGCTGCCCAGCAAGGGCTGCTATTGCTCAGCCCATGACCACCAAGATGCTTTTGAGCACACAGCCTCTGCAGCATTTTCTCAGCCTGCTGCAAGCCCTGCATAGCAGAAATGTTCTTTTTCCAGGCTGCTGCTGGGCAGGCTTTAGGTAAGAGGCTGTGATGGGTGCTGTCAGAAGGGAGCTGTGACAGGTACCTTCAGTGCAGCTCAATACAGCTGCAGGGCTGTGAGCAGGGCTAGCCCAGCTCCTGCCCAGCTGGGCATTATCAGTGCTGGGAAAGCAGCTGAGCTATAAAAGAGCAGTGAGGAAGGGGCGGGGGGGTTTGCTTTTGGAGATGGAAAGCTGCAGTCTCTCCATCTTTTGTCTTCCTCTCCACTTCCCAGGAGAGAGGCAAAAGCTATGGTAGCCTCCAGGTAAGTACACTGCTCCTCTGCCCCATCACCAGTGAGGGTAGATGCCCAGCAACTGGGCTGTACCATGGGGAGATGCTCCTACCTTCACTGACACCCAACAGCAGGTCAGGATCAGACTGTGCTCCTCTGACAGCAGAACTGAGTCCTCTTCCTCCTCCCGTTGGCCCTTCCCCAGCATAATGAGTGAGCCAATTGCATTCCCCATGTCTGCAAACGATGGAGCAGCCACTGCAAAAGGAAGCTTCATCTGAGCCTTAAGAAAGGTTGCTCCTGGCAGTGTGGAGGACTGCTGGAGATCACAGCTGAGTCCAAGATAGCAGTAATAGAGGTGAAGATGGCTCC